TGTTTCGTTTTTCATATTTGCAGTGTTTTTCAAGCAAAAATTTTGTTGATATTTTTTATGAAAATATGGTCCATGCCTTAACCCAAGCACACTTTTAAACTTTAAACAAAATTTAGAAAAATTCCACAAAATTGTATTTAAATTTCGAGCTTTTTAACCAGAATTTTTATAAATTTTTTGGGTATGCAGTTAACAGACTTGTAAAATTTTAGTGCAAGTAAATAAGTGCAGGTTTTGAGCATTGATTTTTGATACTTTTTTTGCTGACGGCTCTTGCAGTTTTTTTTTTTCAAATAAACAGCGAAATTTCGGAAAACTGGCTTTGACTTTTTTATTTTTGTTTTTTTTTTCGAAAATGGTCTTGCTCATACTCTTCCACAAAAAATTCATGTTTATATGGAAGAAAGCGTTGTAAAAGAGCAAAACGCCGTCAAAAAAAAAAAACAATATTAAAAATCAATGCGATGTTTTAGCCGCTCAAAACTTGCACTTATTTTACCAAAATTTTGTAAGCCTGTTAGCTGCACACGCAAAAAATGTATAAAAATTCGGATTAAAAAGCGCGAAATGTAGATAAAAATTTGTGGAATTTTTCTAAATTCTGTTTAAAGTTTGAAAGTGTGTTTCATATTGATTTTGTTAAAGCATGAACCATATTTTTATAAAAAAAAATAAAAAAAATTTTGCTTGAAAAACATTGTAAATATTTATGAAAAACGAAACACCATTCATCCACTAATGACCGCCACTGTACACATGTATATGCAAATCCTTTACGCTCGTTTCGCATTTTGCAATATACAGACAACATTATTTAAACGCTTTCGATTTTTCATTGCAGGTCAACGCACGAGTCCCATTAGCCCAAGTGGTTTATCGTCTGGAATTGATACACAAGTTTATGGCGATTCGATATTGATGTCACCGCAGCAACGCGTAAATCGTCGATATTTATAGATGACTAGTATTTAATTTATTTTGAATATGCGCAACTCATTTGGCGCAATTTATTTTATAACTAATATTCGTTGGAGTCAAATTTTGTTGTGTATGTTTTTTTTTTATGATTTTGTATTATATTTGTTTCTATGTAAGCATTATTTGCAGTGGCATGCTGTTAGGCGCGTGTCCGGTTTTCGTTTGAGAAGATTTTTATTATTTTTTGTTTAATTATTTGACATTTAATTTTGCCGACTAATTTTTGATGTGAAATATTATTTTTCTGTTTTTTAATTTATTATTTTCTTAGTAAATGTTAGGAATAGCATTATGACGTCATATCATCAAATGGCAAAGCCCATCGTATAGTCTTATAAATAAAAACGCTATTAGCTGATTGTCAAAAAATCGCTCCCTAGGCAAAAGGGCTACGCTACTTATAGCACTGTACGTTGGTCTAAGCTTGAGCGAATTCATATAAGGTGGTGTAGTTAAACAGCTGATTTGCTTTGCCATGGCACACAAATGTCAAAATTTTATATTTCGCCTTAGTGAGTATATGAGATTATTTGTATTTTCTATTCCTTCTCTTTCTTCAGAGATGAATAGTTGAAATTTGACATTTGTGTACCAAAAGCAAAATCAAAATGTTTTTATGTCTATGTTTGTGTTTATTACCTTATATGAATTCGCCGTGATTTAACTCATAGAAAGGGCCAATATTTCCTTTATTTTATACGTAGAATTTGGTGTAAAGGGAATCTAAACCTTTCAAAATTTATAAATTTCTATTCATGTTTAGTCAAAAAATAAATTTGTAATTAAACTATTAGTATGTATGTATGTATTATATGTTAGTAATGGTAACTTAAAATAAGGTATGAACTATGTCTTTAAATATAAGTATGTAGTAAATTAGGTTAATATTATTGACTTGAAGAAAATGTTTAGTTTTGCTTATATCCTAATTTGTTCAACGTTCTTTTTTTGTTTTTAATAGAGTAAAAATTTCTGAAGTGGCCCCCTCATTTTTCATGAAGTTGCA